CAGATTTCAAATGTTAACGAGGGCAGTTGTGTCCAGGTCCCCGGACGGAACCTTTTTTTTTTTTTACAAACAGTGCCGCTGCAGTTTTATGCAGACTGAGGGGAAAAGTGGAGGAGCAGCTTTACAGTTTGTCACCACTGCTGACATGAGGTCAGCAGAGCTTTACCTGGGCCGAATAAGAATAAATGTTAAACCATGATGGCTGCAGGAAGTATCAAATTAGTGATTCACATGTAAAACAACAAACATCATCATTTATGTACATTCACATTAAAAGGTACTGCAGGAGTTTTCTTGTAAACAATCTTTATATTCAGTGGTACTCACCATAACACACTGTAAGTAACCCTGAGGGTTTTATACACACATACTGTATTTATGACAAAGACATATAGTGGTAGTATTTTGGGGCGCATCGCCCAGCCCCAAACATAAGTAACTCCAGGAACTTCCTAAATATCACTGATGGATGAGAACAGGTGACACACACACACAAACCACAGCCACACACTCAGCCTCTTCATCAGAGCAAACACCCTTGCAGCAGCACAGACTCACACCGGAACCTGTTGCTGTGACAACCACTGGTTTCTGTGGCAACAGTGGGAGAAACATAAGCCACCAGGGACTGAGTCACTTCCTGTCTCGCGCGGCCGTTCCTCTTTTGAATCAGCGAGCCCGCGACAACTCCAGAGGCAGCAACAGCAAACACACGCACTTTAACAAGGTCAGGCAGCTAGCAACAGCTCCACGTGTGGGTGACTGAGTGTGACCACCAAGTGACAGGCCTCACCTGCTTCTTTAGAAAATTCATACACGCTTACTTAATGAAGGGCGCACTGATCAGAGTGCAGCAATCCCGTGTAACATGCTGTAGTTGTTATCTATAACATCATCTAGACTCCTGATCTGACTGGACATGTGGCATCTGCTTTCGGAGGGGGGGGGGGGGGGAATGAACTGCTGTGTGCTCAGCTGAACAGCAAAAACAAGTCTGAACACACTAATGTCCAAATCTGGATGCTGACTGCTACAGATGAAAGCATTTGTTAATCAGCAGCCATTTTAAATCTCCATTAATGGTTTAAGCCATTTTACAAGCAGAAAATCCAAAGAGTCAGTTCCAGCTGTTTATTTGTGAGTACTTGCTTCTTTTCTTTGTCTGAAGTGATCCTTTCTTTGGTGTTTAGCAGTTTATGGTGGTCACTTTACACTATGGTGACCAAACCATTACTAGAGAATAATCAGTAACAACAACACTGGCAGGTGCAACCCCAATGACAGGCCGTCTTTCTACATTATATAACTCTGGACAACATCCATTGAGTCATCGCAGACGCACCCTCCTCGACTTCCACAAAGATTTCGCTGGTTTGGGTGAGGTGCCTCGCAGCCTCTTACCTTTTTGCCTCTTCCAGGTGGCACAAGTACTCGTAGGCCATGTTCTGCTGCCGCCGCTCATCCATCTCCTCGGCCGTGAGCCGCTCCATTCCATCCAAGACAGCTGCAACCCAAAACATGCACCAAAGGAACTTAGCAATATCACAAGGAAATTCTGGATCTTGTTGAATTTACACCAGAATAATCAGTGAATGTTATCATTTACATTTGGCGCCATTTGTTCACAAACAGCTGTGTACAGTGTGCCTTATTACTGCACCAGCAGGAAACAGACTCCAGCAGCTCCATGGTCTCTCCACACTCCCACATACTAATGCACTTGACAAAAAGAAGTCGGCTTCATTTATTAGTCATTTGTGGAGCCTGTTAACATGAGCTCATCTGGCTCAGGACTGTCAGACCGTGTAATGCGGGCATGGCCTTGTCTGTAAATGACACAGTTCCTCATACAGGGAAAACAAAAAAATATGCTGGGGGAAATTACAGGGCAATTCCCATTTCATTAACTATGATTCCTCCTGCAGAGCAATGTTATCTAAAGATGGTGTTCCCCCAAAATGACAGAAAAGGGGATGGGGACAGGACAAGGGCGCAAAATACAAAGAGGCCCCTGTTTAACCACCTGTCACATCTGAGTGAGTCCCGCGTGTGCGGGCTCACAGCAAAGCTCATGAGCAGGTTAATCCTAATTTTAACTGACTGAGCCTGATTGCAGTGAAACTTCATAAATCTCCGCTTTGGCGCCAGTTTCTGAGTTTCATCACAACCGAAACACTGGGTTTGGTCTGCTCAGTAAACTACTTCTTCTTTTGATATGTATCAAGGAGAATAATGGTCTATTGTGCAATCCAGATGTCAGACGGTGGACTAACAAGAAGGATACATTTCTTCCAACTTTGCATGAAAATGATGTAGAAATGAAATTTTCCATGGGCGGTGGTGGTTGTTCTCGGGCACGAAACTTCAGTCTACTCTGTTTTAATGCGACATAAAGTATAACTTGGCTGGAGGGGAAAGTTGTGACATGTCTAAAAGCAGGGCCCTGCCGCTCTAGGCTCTGCTATGCGAGTTATAAAAACGCGGAAGTCATAATTAGGCTGTAACCATGCTGTCAAACATAAGAACTGTGAACACTCGGAACAAACACATGAGACTTTTCTGAAGTTTGGGAGCGTTTGCCTGATCCAGCTGCTCAGGAGCTGCGCGTCCCTGCGCCGCATGAAGCCGCCAGCCTGGCACCTGAAGGTGAGCAGAAAACTATGTGAACTTACAGCCATATCTCGGCCGGATCCCGTCAGTCTCGTCTGAAGTTGACATCCTCTCTTGAGAAACGCGACTCTCTGCGCTCCACGGTTCGCTTCAGTAACAACTTTACGCGCAGTCTGGAGTTGGTTTCTAAAGTCTCCGGAGCCAAAAGCCTGTCAAAACCAGGAAGGACCTTTCGGTCCTCTTGATCCGTCTCTGCACAGGCTGAGCTGAGACTTTTTTCTTCTTCTTCAAATCTCTCTGATGTCACTGGGTGTGTTCTTCCTAATCCTGAAGTATGCGTTTCAGGAAACAGTGCTCAGCAGCCTTCAGGCGACCAAACTGCAGGCGCAGCGCCCCCTCCCGTCTGCTGCCGCAGGAGGCCGCGCAGATTTCCAAAATGGGCCCTTCAGTGGGATGCGAAAAGATCATAATAACCTGCTGTGCTGGTCTCAGAGCATTTCAGCTGTTTGTTTTTACATCACTGTAGGGCTGAGGCTGTCTGACATGTCAGAAAATTAGAATTGCATTTGAAAAGGGCACCACCGGAGCATCTGTGCCACAGTAGAGAGCTGGAAAATGTCTGGAGAGAATTCTGGCACAAGAAAGAACAAATGATCTGACATGCTGAAGGAGAAATCCTGATGTCCAAATCACCAAAACAACTAGTTTCTATTAATTTAGTTTCAGAGTTAAACCTGGAGGGCAAACAATAAACATCTGAAAACCATTTGTATGTGGATTTGGCAGCTTCATTTAAAATGACTTGATGATACAACTTCCATTCCTGTCACATAATTCTCATTTCGCTCTGTTAAAGATTAATTTGTAGTGATATTAATGTGCTCTTACTGTATGTGCATTAACCCTGAACAATCTAAACTTGAAAGTTCATGCTTGACCTTGGACAGTTTGACAAAATCATCTTAACTCGTGTGTTGCAAACACGTCGTCATTAGCAGATAGATTTATACCAAGTGAGCCAACTCAGTCAGGCTAGACTCCATGTGACAATGAAGACCATGAAGTGAAAGCTCCAGAAGCTGCTTCTGACTTAAGATTATTTTGTCGAACCTGTACAGCCTCCCTTTGCCATCATGCAAATAAACCAACGCTGAATATGACAGAGCTGCTACAGTGACAGCCGTTCCTCCACTTGAGATCCATTTGATTTGCATCTCATGTTATTAGAACATCAGTGAAGACTGTTGAAGATAAATTCTGGTGCTGCTGTGCAGTTGTGGGTTCCATTAAAACATCAAATCAGACCTTTTAATATGAGCATGTTGGACCAGAGTGTGATGTGAGAGCTTCTGTTTAGTAAAAGACAACTACTCACCGTCAGTGTGGACAGCAAGCTAATCGTTTCTTTTTGTTTTAGCTTATAACTGAAGTTTAAAACTATTTGAAATAGTTTATTAAATAACATCTGGATGCTCAAAGTAAAGCTGAGTGTTGAGTGAATGCACAATAGGTGCTGGACAAACTGTAATCAAACTAAGTGTACATGAATGATTATGAAGGTCACCATGACCAGCTGAGGTTGGCCTTCATAATAAATGGTGGAAGTTTAGTGCGCGGTCATTTCCGCGGTTCAGTGGTGGTTAAGTCACTGAACTGGCTTCAGTCTCTATGGCCATTAGTTGCTTCCAGGAAGAAAGGAAACGAATATAAAAAAGAGAATGGAAAAAACCTAAGCAGTGCTAAAGCCTCCATTCACTGGTTCTGGGTCAGTTCTTCTCTCTGCGGCTGCTGGGACTGATGAGATTTTAAAGCTCTTCACATGCAGCCAAACTGGATTTATTCTAACTGCAAATTGCATTTATAAAAGTGAGTGCTGTGGGTTTGTCGTGCCTTCCCGAGTCTGTGCGCAACTCTCCCGCATGGTAACCCTGCAGTGGCCTTTTGGGCGGGGCTATGAGTGTATATAAGAGAGGAGAAGGTGCGGAGTGAGAAGGAGAGTGTCCTGTGGACCTGCTGCGACCCCCCCGGCTTCTCCAGTGTTGACCTGCTGTCTTCCACCTCCACCAGGACCAGCTCTATGGACAGCTCCGGGATGCTCCGCGGGCTGCTGCTTGTTGGCCTGCTGTCCGTCCTGTGTCACGGCCAGGTGTCCCAGGAAGTCTCCGCGGAGGACTTCAAAGTGGGAAAACCCGAACCAGCCGCAGACAGAGACCTGGTCAGTATCTGAAGAGCTCCGCACACCCGCGTCAATAAAGGGAGGTCAGTAAAGACGGGTTAAAGTCAGGAGGATCCTTGCTACACTGCAGGTTCAATCCCTAAAATGTGACTTTTGTGGAAAAAGTCATGCGTTTGGGACTGTAGCATTTAACAGTCAGGCTCCAGCCCATTGAGTGCAGTTGGGGGAAAGACAAAGGTTTGAGCAGCTCTGCAAAGTTTAAATGTACAGGCCTGTGTGCTGGCTTTCTATTATTTGGATTTTATAAACTCAACACATTTCTCGTTTCTTTGGTTCAGTCTAATAGTAAATATTTCTAGTCATTTTTAAAGTATGTTCTTTATTATGATAAATCTGGACTTTTTCTTCAAATACTTTGGATTTCCTTTTTATAAATGTATCGTGATTAGTAACATAAATTTTGCTGTGGAGCCACAAGTCCACAGACCGTTACTTTAGATTTTTGTGGAGCTGCACATATACCAGATATGTCTGCCTGAACTTTTGGAAATGAGCGGACACTCCCTGATGTTTTTGTTTTTGTGAATGACCTTCTCTGCTGCACAGATGGAAGCACTGGAGGCTCTCATGGTGGGGACGCACAATCGGATTTCCTCCCCAGAGAAAAGAGGGAACATCCCGCTGGTAACTTCTTCACTCACACCTGAGCTCTAAACGCTCTGCTTTTAATCACAAAGAATAACTCCTTTAAATGAAAAGCCTTAGTCATCTGTGACTGTATTTTGTTCATCTCTCCACTGCTGTTTAATTAAACCAGTTAGTAAAAGATCCCTGCCAGCAAATAAAAGATAACGAGAAAACGCCAACAACAGTCTTATCCCCAGACTAATCAAAGCTTCCCAAATCCACTTAGCTGAAAGATGCAAAAACTGCTCAGTCTTGTTTCCTCTGAGTGGAAATGAATCACTGAGAAATGAGGCTGAATTAGCCCACAGGCCCAGTCCGAGCTAATGAAGGGCGTTTCTTCATTTCGCTGACAAATTCCTTTCCTTCTCATCCTGTTGTGCCAAATAAATCAGAATAATTAACAGAAAACAATTAATCTAATCAAATTAATACAAAGTCCTCTTAGACCAGCAACAAAGAAACACAACTGTCATTATTGATATGTTTACAACCTTTTTACCAAAGAAGATTTTTGTTAAATGTAAGTGAAAACCATCTGTCTCCTCAGTGTGGGATGGGCGACCGCTGTGCCATGAGGTTCGGGCCTCGCATCGGGAAGCTCTGTGACTGCAGCACAGGAGCCAAGTGCAACTCCTACCTGCTCAAGTGCCTCTGAGCCACTGAAGACTTTTGTCTTTTTCCACACAGCATCACTTCTGCAGGACCAAACATCCTTATGTGTATCACCTGTGTGTTGTGCGTTGTCGTTGCCCGAGGAGATGCATGAATGCTGTACCATCTGTAGTGCTGCTGATCCCCTGTAGCATGTGTCATGTTCAATAAACATTGTTAACATCTATTTGTTAGTTTGTTTACTCAGAGTTTACACAAGTTTCTTGATCCATGTTGTTGTAATTGGTGTTAGATTTCAGGAATGATACAAGTTTTAATTGGAATAATTCTTTCACATTTGTAATTGTATGTATACATACATAAATCCACATCAACATCCTGTGAACTGGACTTTTACTGTACCTTTCTGCCCATACAGAGTTTTTACAGGGGGATCCTCTCTATATGATCTAACTACAGTAATGAGAGCTCCGAGGAAACCAAACATCCACTTCAACTTAACACTGATTCTCATCATAATTGGCTTTAGGATGGGAGCTGGCTCCAAACTGGAGCCAGGTTTTATATCTAGCAGTTTTTGCTACATACAAAACATGAACATGTCTTTATAGTCCACACAAGAGTTTTATTTCACATCCTAAATGTAATTTCATATTCAAACATGCAATGTATAAGTAACAAACAATATTTTTGCTGTGCAAAAGGAGAGCATATGTTTTGACTTTATCTGTCATGCAAAGGTGGTTTGAATCAGTTTTGTATAATTCCTGTGACAGGAAGTGTGCTCAGCTGGAAGCACAGTGCTGTGCAAATGAAAGCTTGTCAGAGCCACTGGAGTTTGTTAGCGCTCCTGCTTGTCTGACAAACAGCAACAAAGCCTTTTGTTCTTCAAACAAAATCAGCTGTGTGGTTTCAGACTCATTTGACTGGAGTGTGGTCAGCTACTGCTACAATAGCTACTATCAATGACTATCACTTCTATAATCATGGCTGAGGGGGCCTCCCAGTACCAATATATAGTAATCATGATGATCTGTTGCGGCTAAAGAGATGACACAAGCAAACGAGGAAATGAGGTGATGTATATAGAGCAAGAAAATCTCCGTTAGGAGGAGGAGGTCGGGGTTGATGGAAGGGTCAGACAACATCAGATTTTTCACCAGGACAGAGCTGTTCCTGTGTAAAACAATCTTTTTATCAGTGAGCATATTAACCCAAGCAGGAACACTCCGTGTTTATAGCTGTAACCATGTGACCTGTTTAGGTTGAACTATGACAACACGATAACGCCCTACTGAACCTCCTAGTAGGTGCAGTAGGGACCTCTTCAACCAGAGCTCTTGCCCAGTGAAGGACTAACCTTATACAGTAGATTGCTACTAGTATGAATGAGAAGCAAACTGTAAAACAATTTAAAGTGTTGTGTAAATGAATCAACCATTTATGTTCATGTCCGCATGATGAATATAAGTCCAATATTCACTGCTTTAGTTCTACTTTGGTCTCCACAGACTCCTGTGAGAAACATCTGGAGCTGTTGCCGCTAATTGTGCCACTATGTTCTCCACCTAGTCTGACTGTATCTGTCTGCTGCTGGGCCGCTGGTGGACAGTGGGGTTTGTCAGGCCTTGTGTGCTGAAAACAGCTGCTTCTCACAGCTGAAAACAAGGTCGTCAAGAGCAGAGACTGAACCAAGCCAAAACGCTGCACATTTAATTAGTTGAGCTTTATTTTCAAACCTGTTTGATGTCAGAATACAGTTTATTGTGTGGATGCGTAAGCATCCACAATATCCTGTTCTTTATTAGTCTGGTTTCTACCACTGTTCTTCGGCACCTAACTCCTTCCACATACTTTCACCTAGAAGGGCCATTGAGGTATCAAACTGTTTATATCCTTAAGGACATGTGTGCTTGTATACAACTTTTTTATAACTTTTATACTTTTTAAGATATTCAGCTTTTTTTACAGAAATTTCCCCATTGGAAATGAATGGGGCAAAATTGGAAGCTTAATATCTCCGGCATACCTTGGGCTAGAAACGCCATTTCAACTTTATTCAACTCGTGAGACGTTCAGCAGATCATCTTGATATCTTTTATGTTTTTTTTTATAATCAACATTTATATTTTGTCTAACAACAAATGGGCCAATACTATACCATGCCATTGGCTGCCTGTGTGTCACTGACTCCCCCGGTCTAGCAGCTCTCGCTTGCTTTTGCTCTTCCTCTTGCCGCTTTTGTGCTCCTATTATGCCATTCTTAAGCTTTATACACATATAATAGATGACAATCGTAGAGAAAATTGTCACGAATTCAGCTGTCAGTGTTATCGAGATGGGATGAATGGTATTTGCGTAAGTCGCTCATTCCAGCGCATACGTCTCACTGCTCCATA